TTCGATACGGGAGGAAAGGGAAATTCGACAATGTAATCGGAGAGGTATCCGTCGGAGGAGGTGGTATCTGTTTGCACAAAGCTTAGTTCTGCGCGAACAAGCTGATCCCTGGTTTGTCGCAAAGGTGAAGTTGATGGTGGTACAAAGGCCGACGAAGGGGACAGATTGAGGCTTGCTCGAAGCTGGGCAGGCCTATCTGCCTGTCTGGATATGGCGGCCGAACGAGGAATCTGAGGATACCTCAAATCTTTAATGGGACTCTCTTGCGCCGGTGAGACGCTACGAATGTTGAGGGGGATAATAGATGTCGTCATTGTGTTGACGTCCATCCCAAGCTGTTTGGTTGCTTCTTCAGGCGTTGTGTCTTCCTCAATCTCGGTATAGATGGAGCTGGTGGAACTCTGTCTTTCCGTGCGACGGCTCACAGGCAGCGTCTGTCTACTTGCAGGAAGCGACGCTGATTCAGATAGCGCCGGGAGATTCCGTGGCTGTGTAGGAGGCTCCACGGGCGGAGTGTTGATGACCCGAAGAGGGAGTCTCGCTGGAGGCTTTTTCCTCAGGACCTTTCTATTTGCGTACATTGACGATGGGGGCAGCTTGTGCTCAACGACTGGAAGTGCCAGTTGCGATGTAGCGGGTGCCCGGACGTTAACAGACGGCGAGGCCAAGTCAACGTTGCCGTTGTCGTAGGTTGGAGTTAGAGGAATCCTTGCTGTCTGTCCTGCAGACTTAGCAGGGCTTTCGGGCAATGCGGGTAATCTCAGGTTCGGAGGTGGGCCCCGTGGCCGATGTGACAGAGGTGGTTTCTCAAGTATGAACGGCTGATTGTCGACGAAAATTCGCTCTGGTTCTTGTGGTTTTGCTTCCGGCTCATCGTCAAACTCGGTGGCCTCACTGACAGGTCGCTGCGTATATCTCCTCCGTTCCCTGGTGGCGTCGATATCGAGTGGTGCGGGCCAAAGAACTGCAGGAGGCACCTCTGGTAGTAGCCGCGAGAAGCTTTGTTGAGAGGATGCGCTGACAGGGGAGTGTTCGCCGGGCATTTTTGGCGAGACGGCTATACCAATCTCTTCTGGTCTGATGCTCTTCCGCCAGAAGCTTCGCCTCTTTTCTTCCGTCGGTTGTTGCGGAGCATAGAAGCGACCCGGAGTATTTGATACTGTAGGGGGAGTTCCAAGGTTACCGAGGGTTGGCTGACTCTGTTTCTCAAAGCTCTGAGGGTTTACAGGTGGTGACGGTTCGATTAATCGTGAGCGCCTTTGGCTACGTCGATGCATTTGACGCCGCTTTCGCATCCAGAATGAAAGAATGAGCAGTCCAATAACGATAGCAATAGTCGCGGCACCCCCGATCGCAATCCCTGCAATTTGAGTGGTAGAGAGACCAGATCTAGGAGTTGCCTGTTCCGGCACAGCAGCAGCTCCTGATGTCGTGGAGGACTCGGTCGACCGGCGAGTGGTTTGGTCTACCATAGTATTCGTTGGAGTCTCTGTTGGCGCAAGTGAACCTGCAGACGTTGGCCATGCCTCTGATGTTACCATCATCCATGTTGGTGTGTCCGTTGCCATCACAATGGTGCTGACCTCCATGGTGGATGTTGGATTTCCTATAGTTGCGGGTAGGCTCTTCATAGTGGTAGATGTCGTGGTGGAAGGCCCAATGATTGTAGCAGTGATGGTTCGAGCAGTCCTCGGTTGAGCTCCTGGCACAGAGTTGCAGACGCCGTAAACCTCCACGTCCTCCTGATCGTCTGCTATACAAACAGAGACCACACACTGTACGGCACCTTCGCCAATTGTAAGTCCCGAAATGTTAGATTGTGCACAGAGGTATTCGATGTCTGAGGTATTTGCACATGTGGCCCCTGGATAGTTTTGGCTTGCAAACTGTTGGATGCAGGCAACTGCGCAACTGGGAGTAACAGCGAGAAGGGAGGGAGGAAGGCAGGTGTTTGTCGACGTCTGTTGGGCCCGGAGCTTATCGCCATCGATAGGATTCGACAACCGCCTGTGGAAGATCCGCGTATGGTCATCCATATCAACAGGGTCGCCTTTGTCATCGTTGAGGCATCATGGGGGTCGAAGTGGCCGTTTGCGGAAATAGTTCTGGGAACAGTGACTACACAGTACATGAGCAGGTAAGTAGCAAGCAGCGCCAAAGCGCAACAGTGTTCAATGACAATGGCAAACACCGTGAACCTCGCATATGTAACGCGAGAGAGGACCTGGGAGTCTTTTAATGGTGAGGGTGCCCTTGTTCTTACCTCACCCCTCGACAAGCGCGGATGCAAAATTTTTGTCCCTGGAAAAGGACATTCTAACGGGAGCATGACGATGGCGGCTGGGATATTGACCTGCGATAGGCCGTATAGCCTGAAACCCATAGAGCATCATGGTGGGCGTGGTCGAATGTGAGGCATTGGATGAAGCATAGTCGCTGAGCCCAGCGGTTAGGGCTGGTCGTGACTGACCACGACACTCTCACGTGACTGTTGGTTCCCCCTGGCGAACCCCCAGATGGGGAAATGTCTGTAGGGCTCCGTAGGGTTCGGATATGACCGGCGGTTACAGGGCGCTTCCACCACTCGATTAGGATGAGTGGCATCATATTACTACGCAAAGACTTTGGGACTTTTTTGACTCTATTATATCGCGGTCTTCAAGTTGTAGCGCAATCCCAATATGTGTCCGTACTCTCAAGGCTTGCGACCAGTGTTCCCCTCTGGCACGGCCTCATCTCATCGACACTGTTTGCGCCAGCACCACAGCACTGCGCTACTTGGGGATTTTGTCATGCTGCGACAGGCCACCAAGGGTACTTTCCTGGTCATGCACGACTTAAGATTGCCAATCAATCGGTTCAGCCCTAGATGACGCATCTTGACCGTTGAATACGGGATTAAGGGTTGGCGTCACCAGGCTTCCACAAATCTCCAAACTGTTATCCAGGAGGCTCGGACATGGCAGTTCCGGAGCTCGTCTTGGTCTCACCATTTCCCGCAAAATCGCTAGACCAGGGGCAGAAAGCTCATTTAAACGATCAAGGAATAAAATATTAGAAATTCATATGAATCGGATGTAAAATGTGTCTCATTATGCTGAATTAAGACCTCTGCATCCAAACCACGCACAGCAGAAAGGGGACCTTTGTGCACCGAAGTTGGACGGAGAGGCTCCCATCCGTCTAGCAAACAAGTCGGTCCCTCGGCCAAGGTCACACCACCCTATCCAGTCTCAATACCCAGTTTCATTCCAGCAGGATCTTTGTGATTTCCGTGCGAGATCGGACTCGTGCCGAGGATGAGATTGTGGGCATTATGAGGAGTGTGTTGTGTTTTGTGTCATGCTCCGAGAATCAAAAGCAGGTGGGGGATATCAAGATAAGACGAGGTGATGTCGGCCCTCGACAGAAAGAGGAAAGGTTTCGACGGTTGATGACATGACATTAGGTTCTTATCACTCAGTATTTCAGGATAATGTAGCTGTTGCAATGTTGTTAGCTTCAATTCCGGGCGAAGACGACCGGGCGCGTCTTTCTACGTACAGAGCGTGAATGATACCCGGGATATAACCCAGGATTGTCAACAGGATGTTGATGAAAAAGTCGGCATTGCAACCTCGCTCGAGAAAGACACCAAGAGGTGGAAGGATGATGGCAAGGATAATCTTGCAGATGTCGCTGGAGGTAGCTGGTCAGCTCTGGTGGGCGCACTGCGCGGAAGGGGACGGAAGGTGGAAGGCGGAACAAGTGACTTACGATGCTGTGAAAGGCATGTTGATTCAATTAGAAAAGGCCTGCGAAAGAGGTGTTTGGAGTTGAGCGGGCGTAAAAGGCGAAGCTTACGAGTAAAAGCAACAGTTTCTGTAGACAACGGGATGGTGAGAAAGAAGAGTGCGCGACGGAGAGAAGATACCAGTCACTTTTAGATGAGATGCGCGGATGGCTGGGGAGAGGCAAGTCACTTAACAGGCTTTGGTGGCACGGTGGGCACCGTGACTCGGATTACGAACAGGGCACACGAGGCGCCTGGGAACATCATCCTGCCTTCGGCAGAGGCCAGCCCCCCTTAACCTTGTTTAACTTGGAGGCCTCCTTAGGCAACCTCAAAGGCACTTGATGTCCTTGATTGCAGCCACCCATGACGTTTCTTTCAGCGCCAACCCCCTTCAACGCGCCTTTTTCCTTCCGTCCCTCTCCACTTATGGACTACTATGACCAATCGATCGCCAAACCAGGAGATTACCAACTCGGATATGGATTAGACGTTTTAGCATGGTGCATCGTCATCACAGCACCGCCACAAAATGTGGCTTGACGCTCCGTGATCTCCGTCGCCCTGCCACTCTTTTTCCTTTTCCCTTCCGCCACACCGTCATCTCCTGATCAATTTGACGTGGAATGCTGTGGCTGAGGCATTGAAAGCCTCAGCATGAAACCGCAGATCGAAGAAAAACTCCTCACGAGACACGTTTCAACGTGGTAAGGTCAATCATTGACACTTGTACAGCGTCAGCAGAGGGAATAATCGATCCATTGCCCAGACTTACTTGGACCAGTTCCCGGGTTCACCCCAAACCGAGGACGGCGAGCCGGCGAGACGGGTGAAATGCTATGAAGTAGGGACTTGGCACCGGTGGTGCTGGGGTGATAAATTTCGTCATCACGGCAACAGAAACACCACAAACGCGGTGGGGGGTTGTTTTGGTGATTGTTCTATATCGGGCTACAGCACACTCACCCCGAGAAAAACATCTCAGCCGTGAATTCGTATAATGATTTAGCCGAGTGGCACAAGCGAACCAACTAGGCTCCTCACTTCAATCCTACCTTTAGCTCCAGCCCACCAAAAAGAATGCCTTGTGCTTTTGGTGCGGCTACCGTTCAAGATTGTTGGTAGGGCAACTCGCGGGCTATAATGTCTATCTATCGATCTCGGATCTTGCCTCTCTTCTGCCATGAGTGAGGACTTCTGAGCCAGATCTAATTTGCTGAAAGAAGCAATGAGTCCAAGCTCGACGAAGCCTCAGTTCCTTCGGTCTCTCTCGTCTACCACCGCACTTAAGCCGACGAAAGACAAGCCTCGACTTTACGTTGTCCTCTACCCCCGGAGCGCCTCGTCTACAAATTCATCCTTTCGCAACGCCCTCAGCTGTGACTCTTATCACTGGTCTCTCATTGTCGGCCCTCAAACCGCCCGGCGAACTGATCAAGGGATCCGCTACCATGTAGCGCACCTCGATCACGACACCAACCAGCACGTTTACGAAGAACAAGACATCTCTACAAACCCCATTGCCCAAAGTGCTCTGGTGCGTGTCGCCGTGTGCAAGGTCACGGACGAAGAGCGTCTGAATTCCATTCTTCGAGATCTTCGCATTCCCGCGGACGACTCGGCATTCAATTGTCTCACCTGGGTCCGCGAGGCATTTTGCAAACTCCACGATGATGGAAAGTCGGTGAAGAGTTATCTCAATGCAGACGATTGGCAAGCTGTGGAGACGTGCGCGCGGAAATACTGCAAGCGGAAGAGGGATGCGGGTAGGTTTCAAGAAGGGAATGCCCCTGCTAACAACAACGGCGCCAATACTGCGTGGAGTGTGGATAAGATCAGCACCTTCAATTTTTGGGAAAACCGTGAGACGACGGCCTAGGTGTCGGCAGAGTATGCGGGTCTAGGTTTAGGGCAGTCCGGTGCGCATAGACAAGTGTTGACTGGCATCAAAGGAAGACGTCGAGATGGAGGCGTTGAGTGGACCTTGCCTTATTCCATGGCATACGCTCCTCAAGTACACCAAACGCAACATAGCACGTATCCCCAATTCCGTTGAAGAAGTTATCGTTTTTCTTTTGGACATCTGTGAGTTGCCCTCCGGAGCGTCGCATCACTACGAGGTACTTTCAACATCTTCACTAGAATCAAGTGCCACAGGGACAGACTCGGGGACATACATGGAGCTCACTCACTCACCAAGAGACCAGCGCAAGTCAGCAAACAAGTCAGAGAGGAGTATTTACGGGAATTACGAGAAAAGAAGTTGAGGTCGAGCTTCTTGACGGAGAAAATAGGCTCATCTGCTACGAAGTACCGACTGAGTTTTTTGCATTTTGAACACTTCTTTATCTTTTCATTCGTGATAACGGCGCGCAACGCAGACCGAGTGCGCCGCCCTCTATTAAATGTTACATATTTTTGACCTTTGTATAAAATCAACTCAGATGCGCATAGCGAATAGCATTGCATGCACCATTCCACCAAGCACGAAAAAGGTTCGCGTAGTCGTTGTCCTGTTCCACAGCTCAGTCAGTAATCAGTCGGTCAGTCCATGAACGAATGACCTGCAACGTGCCGAACACGGAAATCTATTGAAATATATTCAGTTCATGTCACTAACCACGTGCGACGAGCGCAAATCCCTCGTAGACATACAAGCCCATCTATCTGCAGGCCTGTCTAGTCGTCTGGTTGTCTAATTGTCTCTTTTCTTTCCCCGCTTTCCTTTGGTCCCTTCCGAAGCTGTACTCGGTACTTCGTAATATCTAGCACAACATGTACACGTATGTGCCGTGGGTTGGGCTTTCGAGAGACATACGTGACCAACCATACTGACTTGACAAAAGGAGACAATTGACTGGATGGTCGGAGTACAGAATCAATCGGCATTGAGTGATTGGCTCGGCCGCAGTGCGAGGAGCTTAGACTGTCCTCGAGCACGGCTTCCGTTATTTCCCTGTTTGGTATGCGAGTGAAACGGTCATTGATCGTGACTGTGAACGCTGAGTATTGATATACTTCTTTATGTGTAGATGACCCACGAGTATCCCATGCCCGTTGCGAGGTGCGCACAAGATTTATCAACCTGAAAGTCCGCAATGAGCGGGACAATCGCAGGCAGCACGAGTTCGAAGGCTGCAGGACGAAAGATATCCCCATTCAAAAAGCACGCCGTCTGTTTCGTTGTGCATAGTCCATGATGAGGTATTCCCGATTCAGATCCCACAATCCCAAGTCCTAGCCTTAGCCCTTGCCCAGAACGAACCCTGAGACGGTGAAGTCCTTCCCATGTTCCCTGCCCACGAGAAAAACAAAATACCCCGTATATCGCCGTGAATGGGCCATCGTACAAACGCCGAGTAGCAACGCTTCTGCCGAGTCGCAGAGAAACAAAAGCATAAGATATTGTATTTCCCGCCACGCATGTCACTCTCTTCGCACTTGGAAATGCCACTTCAGATCATTCAGAATCATGATTCCTTCTCTAGAGGCCGCGAAGCATCACGGTCCGCTCTCCTTCCAATTTGGCCGCGTTGCGGTCCTTGTCCGCTTTTCTAGCGTCTTCGAGGCCTTCACAGTTATGAGACTCCAACATACGGTGCTTTCCGCAGAAGCGCTTCTGGCAAAATCCGCAGTCCCCCACAATTGGTTGAGCCGGTGCTTTACACCCATCTTTAGAACACCGAGGCTTGTTCGACTTCCTCTTCGTTGGGGTGGCCGCGCCCGAGGGTATGGGTGTTGATGATGTTGATGCTGGTGTGGATGGTGATGGTTGAGCGGTGCTCATCTCCGGTGCTGGCGCCTGGGGTTGAAGTTGTGATGCATCTATAGGTGTGGTACTTCGTGACGGCGCAGACAGCTTAAGTGTTGATGACTCTTGGAGCTTGAGCTCTCCCACAGTGGTTGAGGGTTCAAGATGCCTCCCATCCAGCATGAGCTGAACGTCTGCTGGTAGATTGGTAGAGGCAGAGAGAAATTCCAGGACATTGGAAACAGTGTGAACGGGTCGCACGTTCAGTTTGATGGCTGCAGAGACACTTGTTAGTTTGCCATCAGGAAACAAAATGGAAGTCCCATGAGGCGAGGCTCACTCTTTTCGCCGCTGATTTGCACCTGGATGGCCATATTGTCAGCCGGAAGGTCTTTGCCGGTGCTGGAGGTTGCGGAGCCAGATCGTGAGCGATTCATGTTGAATGTGAGATTTGATGTGAGGAAAAAGGATGTAGGTTGAGGAGCAGGCGATCTTTATGTGGGTTGGAGATTGCGGTTGAGGAGGATCCGGCGCAGGTAACCAGGCTCGTGACCGATGACGAATGGGCGATTAGACCAGTGCTGAGTGGAGTACTGGTAAGGAGATAGCGTGACGGTGATTAGAGGGAGGCAAGAGTATAGAAGGCAGATGATGATCTGGCTATGTGTGTGCGGTTTCAGCGGCCTGTTGGAATGAGGTTGAGGTTGGATAAAGTGAGGATAGAAGAATGACAGTGAGGTTGGTGCAGATGAGTCGTGTAATGTACTGCCTGGGTAGTAGCGAGCTGGCTAGTCAGATGGACAATCAAGCCAGGGGACAAGGCGACAAGATGAGGCAAGCAGGTGGCTAATGGGGAGGTTAGTGGTATGTGGGAACTAGTGACAAAGGTGGCTGCTTGGGGACATTGAGGCGAAGGTCAGATACGAGTGGTCCTCGTACTTACCGAGTAGCTGAGTATGACGGGGGCTCCAGTGGCTCGGAGTTTGACAACGAACGTATGGTGGATGGCGGATTTGCGGATGGTGGATGGTAAATACGGAGAAAGGGACCCAAATTGACCCAAGTTTGAGCCACCTAGCACCTACCAGCGCCCAGGGCAACTCTAGCAGTGACAGTGACAGTGACCGCTACTGACCAGTGGGTCCCAGGTCCCAGGGGCCCAAGTAAGGGCTACATAAGTGGGGACCCCGTGGAAGACAGTGGCAGGTCCAAGAATCAAAGAGACCGAACAAGAGCGAGATAAATCCACGGCAGCGACACAAAGACTGCACAAGGGTGTCGGAAGGAGCGAGGGGCGAAGGGGGATGAGCGTAATCGGAGAGAAATAAGAGAAGGTGAAAAGCTTTCAAAGGCGCTCAGTCCGAGCTGATGGGCTGGCAATCATGATGATGGCGCATAACATAATTGAATAATAAGCTCAGGTCGTTGCGAGGGTTTATCGCGCTCTCGTGTCTCGTGGCGGCCAAAGCTACCCAACGAGCCAGGTCCCAGCCACTGGCCAAAGAGCCAAAGAGCCAACCGCTCAACCGCTACATTGGGTACAGACATAGCTTCATTATCGTGGATCAAATCATCTTAAAAACACACGTCTTGCTCTGCTGTAACTCATCCAAGCCATACAATCCCACATCCTCCCAATCTGGTCCTTTCTCCATCCTTTCCGTCCTCTTTCGCCTTTGAGCCGCCATATCCGGGCGGTGGTGACGGAAACAGTCCCTCAATAATTCATTATGGCTCCCAAGCCGCCCTTTTCCTGGTTGAGGTCCAGATCGTCGGTCTGAGCGCTGGGGACTCTGACCTGCCTGTGCGCTTGTTCACTCGTCAGTGCTGACCCCATCAGGATGCCCTTGTACCTTCAAAGCGACGGACGCCCATGGACAAATGATAACTAGCCCGCTTTGACACAATTGCATTGTTGGCACCTGTAGCTGGCTGCGACGCGGCTTTCCTCACTTGGTAGGCAGCTCTGATTAGTCTAGGCCTCTCCCAAAGCAGTCCGGTTGGCTTTTGTCCGAATGCGGCATGCGACATCGCCTATGCCTCCCATTCAGGTCCGGTATGCGTGGCGGCACGAGGGACAAACGTTGTATCTGTTGCTGCCATCCTTTTTAGACTCCAGGACTCTTATGCGAACGGCATCTACCGTTATCGTGAAATAGCTTTCCCACTAGTTCATATCAAACAAACCTTTCTTTCTTCCACCTGATAGTTTTCGGGTCATGTGTTGGAAGGCACTGCCCCGAACTTCCTGGCTGGGCTCGATCTGCACATGCGGCCGAGACCCTGCATATTCCCACTTCTCCTGGTCGCGGCCTCTGCTGGGCCGATCCAGTACCAGGGCAAGCATAGGGAAAATGCCCGCCCAAACAATCATGCTAGAGACGACCCAAATATGTATGCGACATCGGCGGGCAACACCATTTCTTTCCCCGTTAATGCTTCAACCATCACCTCACACACTTCGAAAGATAGTTCTCTTCCCCATCGCCGATGCTGCTGTGAGCTCGTTTGGTCGATTGGTTGTCATAGAGACCACCGTCTCGCTGTCATGTCAGTGGCCGACTCCGACAGCCCTAGGTCTTTTGTCGGATTCCGGCCGGGAGTCGGCGACCTCAAGCTCCTTCAACTTTCTTTTCTCCAGCGTCTGGATCAAGGTAATCGTCCTTCTCTGCCGCCTCATATTCACCAATCAGGCCCATCACGACCTCCTTCGCTTCATCGAATTCGGCGAGTCCTTCAGCAAATGGCGCTTCCTTTTTATATTGCTCTAAGTAGGCATTTCGTTTCCGCATTTTTTCGTACTGCACCACTATTCTCCGGAAGAGGGTAGCCACGCTGGTGTGGTTTGCTAGCATGAGACCTGAAACTCGATGCGTGTTTGGTAGGTACGGAGATTTCTTGGTCAAAGCCACCTGGATCGAGGCTGGACCCCAGGGTATGAAATTTGCCATTCGCCGCTCTCGAATGCGCAGAAGGGATTTGTGAACGTCGGTTGGGTCGGCCTCGCCTTGGATGATGTTGAGGATGGAAATGTAGCAAGAGGATTTGGAGGGGGTGATGGATACCATTCGATTCTTCGGTTGGAGCAAGCGGCGCATCACGTCAAGCACCGTGGTTTTTCGCACGGT